AAAAATTCTACAAAAGATATTTGTTGAAGCGCTCTTTCTGTAAGTGCCAAAAATCTGAAATATAATAAATATAAATTGAAATAAAAATAATGCATATTCGAATTAAAAATGAAAATAAGATATATATTTGAAATTTTTATATATAAAAAAAATAAGAATTAAAGATTCCATATTTAACAATTTGGAATTTTTATTTCAAATCTTACTTATTTTTAACGTATCTAAGATGTGTTTAAAAATACTCGAGAGATTTAATTATAAATGAATAAAGAAATTTTTAAATTTTACAATAAAAAAATTTCTGTTGTTAAATTTTTAATGCCAACATTTTTCTTAGTTTTAATTTTTCACTTTAATTATGATATAAAAAAATAATTATGTACGTATTACCCACTTCAATATCCGATCATGTTGAACCACAATTTTTGCGATTCTCTTATCCACGATTTTATTCATATCCGATCGGCCATCCACCAAACATTCCAACCAACTCATTAACATTTGCATCTGTCCACAAGCGTGCACTGCAAACACGGCGGCTATACTAACCACCGCTGCTGTTATTGCGTGTATGATGACACCTGATAAAACTTGAATGGAGAATAAAATTTCGTTGGCGGGACTCTGACGCACATCAGCGATCAATTTCGAAGAAGGGAACGGTAATAGTATAAACGTTAAATTTTCATCCCTTATTTTACCCACGCTTATAGGTACAACGAAATAATAAAAGACAAATGCACTGTACACGAAAAAGGTAGAAATCAATGCTAATTTCTTTCCATAATTCGCATACTCGATCATGATTTTCTTATCCTCTTGATGTTTCACGTTTTTCCAATCCCATTTGATGTGCTCGATACCTTTGCGGATATTGTCTTCGTGAAATGTTAAAAAATAATATTTTATGAGCGTCATCACGAAAAAACTCAATGGACCGATCATTTTGATTCTATTGTATGTATCCTTCACCTCAACAATCAGGAACATGTTAGATGATGTGAGCATGAAGCTGATTAAACCGTAACAAAGGATACTTATCAACACGGAATAACATTTCCCTATTTTAGATTCGCGTAAATTTGGCCATGTACCGAGAGATTTCAGCAAAAAACGATTCCACTGTATGCTCAAATTCACATTCCTTTCATAATCATCTTGGACGATGATAGGCTGATTTTTTTCCATTGTTGACACTCGATAGTTGGGTAGATACTGAATATAGATGGACAAAGATTGCAAAGGAAAATAATATTGCGCTTGCGCTTAAATTATAAGAGAGAGAAGGATAAAAGAAGTAATATTTTTCAAAGGGTCCGACCCCTTTTAGTTATTAGTTTCTTCAGTTTATGCATTATGTAGACAAGAGATGAGGGTTGATGACATAGAATCATCGATAAATTGATTTTTTTCAAGCGTCAGTAGTGCACGAGTACCTTAGCGTGTAGCAACAGGTTGACGGAATCAATTTCTGAAGAATGAGTTTCTGTTAAGGGATTAAAAGATTGAAAAATTTTCCTGTTTAATAGGTATGTATAGTTTATCGGAGTTATAATAATATTGTTAGAAATGTATGTGAATATCATAAATGAGTGTTATTTTAGACGAATGAATTTTTTTTTTATTTCTTTTAATTTAGTAAAAAAAAGATATGAAATATACATGAAATGTAGGATTGTTTATATGTTGTATATTGTTAAAATGAATAAAATATTAATTTTTTTTTTTATAATATTTTTTTATAATTTTATTTGAATTTTAAGATTTTATTTTGAAATTATTGATTATTGTTATAAATACAAATATTAATTAAAAAGATAGAGAAAAAAATGTCAATTTTAATTGTAATTAATTGCATGAAAATGATTAATGTAAGTAGTTGCGTAATTCTTATTCCTAAGAAATTAAAATATAAATATGTGAAAATTAAGTAGAAAAGTCAATATATAACTCTCCATTCTATACTTAATTAGACGTATACATAATACATATACTTTAAAAAAAAAATTCATCATTTATACAAAATATAATATATGTATATATAAAATATGTTAAAATATGTAAAAATTTAAATTGTTTTAATAGGAATGATAATTATAGAATTAGGATAATGAATTTCTTCATTATATTTAAAATATCAATTTCATTGAATCTTTAATACAATAAGTACAGATGTGTGAATTTTTTACAACTAGTATCTACATACTATCAAATATTAATATTAATTTGTTATAAAAAAATATTTAAGTCAATGCTCGTAACATATTTAAAAAAGCCACTGAGGTTTTAACGACCTATTTTGGTACAAGATAAAGCTTTTCATCAATCAATAAATTTAAATGATAGATAGAAATAATTTGATACTTACATCACTAAAAGTATAAATAGATAACTCAATCATATTTCCGGCTGTAAATTTTATTGATGAATTGGACATTGCAATGATTAAAACACAACAAAGCTTTTTCTTGCCTCTTATTCGGTACCATTCGATCATATATGCCACTTCTGCAACCTTTTCAGACTATATTGAATCATTATTTATTGTTAATTTCTATTTGTACGATTTATTTAAAAAATTAATTGAAATATTATTACAGATATTTCCAATAAAAATATCTTACCTGTTCGGCAACCAATTCGCCTATATAACAAAATATGAAAATATTGAAAGTAATCGATGCGATTATTGCTATGTAAGTAAATGAAATTATCAATTCATTCGGATTCCATTCCTATAAAATCATATATATATAATTATTGTAATATTAATATCAAAAAATATGAATATATATGTAACTTTTAAATATGTATGTGTACCGATTGTTTCAGAGTTTTTTATTGCATGCGTACCACA